ATAATGGTAAATTGTAGGTAATACAATGTAATTCTTGCCTTATTCAGTTGCTACGCTGTGTCTGACTCTTTGTGACCTCATGGACTGTAGCATGCCAGGCTCCTCTGTCCTCCACTATCTCCCAGTTTGCTCAAACTCATGTCCATTGAGTCAATGATTGCATCTAACCATCTCATCCTCTGTCACCCTCTCCTCCTCCTGCCCTCAATCTTTTCCAGCAGCAGGGTCTTTTCCAATGAGTTGATTCTTCACATCAGGTGGCCAAAGTATTGGAGCTTCAGCTTCAGCATCAGTCCTTAATGAGTATTCAGGGTTGATTTCCTTTAGGATCTACTGGTTTGATTTCCCTGCTGTCCAAGAGATTCTTCAGAGTCTTCTCCAGCACCACAATTCAAAAGCAATAATATTTTGACACTCAGCCTTCTTTATGGTCCAACTCTCACATCTGTACATGACTCCTGGAAAAACCTATATTCGTGCCTATGTCCATGCAAATATGTTCTATCAGTTAGAGGTGGAGGGTTCCTGACTCCTAAGGGGAAAAGCCAGTTTGATAGCCCTTTACAAATTCATTTCTGTAATCCTATTTTTTTTTGCCTTCCCCTTGAACTGGTTGTAGTATCTCTTCTGAGTCATTTAATGAAAGTGTTAATTAAAATTTCAGTGTGTTCATTTTATTTTTTTAAGTTTCATTGAGATATAATTGATAAAATCATAGGATATTAAAAGTAGTACACACCGCAATAGAGATGTATTCATTTCATAGCTGCATGAAAGTCATGATTTTCTCTCTTTTGTAAATTACCTTTGTAAAGCAGTAGTCAGGGTTCTGGGGCAGGAAATGGTAGCGCACTCAAAGGGGAAACTGAAGAGTGTTTTCAGGGACTATTTATAGAGGTGTGGGCAGAGTAGCGATGGAGGCAGTGAAGCACCCCAATGAACAGAGAGGGAAACTGGGCCACCTCTAGGGCTCCCTGGGCACAGGAAGGGAGCTGTGGCCATACTTAAAAGGGATACAAGTCATGGCCCAGCAGGAAGGAGCAGGAGAATGAATGATCACTTTTCTTTCCTCTTGTCCTCTGAGCCCCATGAAGCCACAGGATAAAGGACACAGGGTGGCATAGTTCAGCTTTTTTCCTATTGCTTTCTCCATGATTTTCAGTCAAATCAATCCAGCAATAATCACAAAATCTCTGTGAATTTAGAGAATCCAGCCCAAGTCTGCTATAAAGAATTTTTTTAGAGAGGCTTAAATTACAATTATACTTCATATGTACATGCTGCTGCTGCTAAGTCTCTTCAGTCATGTCCAACTCTGTGCGACCCCATAGATGGCAGCCTACCAGGCTCCTCCATCCCTGGGATTCTCCAGGCAAGAACACTGGAGTGGGTTACCATTTCCTTCTCCATTACCTTGTCCATTATGTACATAGTTAAATAATATAGCCCTTTGGTAAAAATTCATGAAAGACATACCACCCTTTGATCACTTTCTACCTTTGAATACATATCTTATGTATTCATATCACTTCATTCATATCACTCATATCGCTTCCTCTAGAATATTTTTACCATAGTCTTAATAACCGTCAAGTTAACAGATACCTGAAAAAATCTAACATTCTTTCCAGTTTCTGGATCCTCAGCCTTTGACCAAGAAGTGAAAAGCTGATGCAATTTTGCATCTGTTTTTATATACTCATTCTCTATAAGTTGGGTGGAAGCTTGGTGAATATATTTTGGAGAAAAGAAAACTTGGATTGGTTTCTGGGTGAACGAACCTTGACATAATGAATCCCAAACTTTCTGCCTGGCTTTTGTGCTTTCACACAAGTTAATGTTCAGTTGAGCACCTCAACATGCTCGGGTGGAAAGCAGCAGAGTTGCAAATCGATGCTGAGGAAGCCGATTATAGTGTGAATGATAGTGTGAGGAGAATTCAGAGGTCAGGGAGTAATCTGGAAGGAAGGGGAGAAGGAGAAATGCCACATGACTGGAGGCTGCATCAGAGCTGCAGAACAGTTGAGGACTATTTTAAGGATGGCTAATGTTCAGTTGTAAACTGTCTTTTACCAAACCTTTGGTAAAGTTGGCTTCATGAAAAATGTGTGTGAGTGCTTCTGATTAAACCCTAATAAGGAAATAATTTTTAAAAAAAACAGCAGTAATGGTTAAAAAGAAAAGAAAAGATGGAATCTGAGTGTTTAGTATATCTTGGGCATTGTGCTAACACAGATGGCTACACTAGCTATTCACAGTCACCCCCAATGAGACAGCCAGTATCCCCCCTTTTAGGGGAAGGAGGCTGATGCTCAGAGAGGTAGTTCACTCGAGGTCACATAACCAGTACATGAAAGAGGATCTGACACCAGAATCCAGGCTGTGTTCATAGCACCACACTGCTTTGCAATCATCCTCCCCACAGCCTCCTTAAAAAGCTGTCCTTTAGTCTCTGTCATTGACAAGAACCCCCTCCTCCTCTAAGGTCGCCCATTTCACAGTCAAAGGGCTGTAACCAAAGTTTTTCCACATGTGGGTGAGATTTGTCTCCCTACAGTTTCTATCCCCAAGTCTTCCATCTGCTGTTTGGGTCACTCAGAGCAAACATAATCCTTATTTTATGGAGCAGGCTGTCTAATATTTGAAGATATGTGTGAAACTTCGATGATGGTGGACTTTACATAATGTGCTTTCAACAAATATTCATAGAGTAGATGAAGGAAGGCCACATTTGGAGGGTACAGAGTATGGCTGCTAGGACAGCAAATATATAAACAAGATTTGATTACTTTCTCTGTTGCTGCTGCTGCTGCTGCTAAGTCACTTCAGTCGTGTCCAACTCTATGCAACCCCATAGACGGCAGCCCACCAGGCTCCCCTGTCCCTGGGATTCTCCAGGCAAGACACTGGAGTGGGTTGCCATTTCCTTCTCCAATGCATGAAAGTGAAAAGTGAAAGTGAAGTTGCTCAGTCGTGTCTGACTCTTAGCGACCCCATGGACTGCAGCCTACCAGGTTTCTCTTTCCATGGGATTTTCCAGGCAAGAGCTGGAGTGGGGTGCCATTGCCTTCTCCAACTTTTTCTACCTATCTCATAGTCTTATGTACATACTGCTTCCTCTAAGAAATTTTTGCCAAAATGGTAACAACAACCAGGTTAACAGGTATCTGAAAGAATTCTTAGATGCACCACTTTTGGAAAATATATTTACGTGTTGCTTCTACCCGAACCCTTAACTACCTACACCTGTAAAGGTGTTCAGTGTTCTCCGTCAAGCCAAACCTGTGGGACTAATGAAACTGAGGGCAGTCATCAATTTGATCCCTTAAACTATAACTTTTGCTTAATCAGCAGTATCAGTAACTTCACAGATCAAACTTGCCTTAACTGTTCCTGCACACTGCATGCCCTTTGTCAGGCAGCTTAGACAGATAATCTTATGACTCCTTTAGCTGCCCTCTAGAGGCAGTACATCTGATGGATGGGTCACTATAGTAATGGTTTCAAAAGTTGTTTTCAGGAACATGGTGCTAGTCTTGACCAGTTCAGATCAGTTGAGACCACCAACCATTCAGCTGGGCCTGCTAGAGTGCTGGATGGAGAACCTCTTGACATCAGAAGGCCAAACACTCTACCCTCAGATGATACCACCCTGCCATTTTCTTCACCTTTTTCTTCTCCAATCACCTTTCCCCAGGCCTCAGGTCACCCAAAATCTTTGTCCCCAAGCTCTTAGCCTTAGGGAAGGTGAATTTAAGATTTGGTCTCCCTTCTCCTCTCTTGGATGCCTCATGACTAATAAACCTTTCCCCTGCAAACCTTGGCATCTCAGAGTGTGGCGTGCTGCACGCTGAGCAAATGAATGTAGCTTAGTAACACTAATACACCCTAAAAAGACATTCATCTCATTCTTTACACATATACTTTTATACAACCCAAGACCAGACCATATGGAGAATAGAATTGTTATTCTAGACCAATAACTGCTGTAAATATTAATGTATATACATACACACATATATAAAATCTTAAAATTGTATAATATATAAAATTTATAAAATTAAACTATATACCCAAGGAAAAGTAATTTTGTTGGCATCTAAGACATAACAAACCACTGGGATTAGATATATGGAGAAGGAGCAGTGACAAGAAGGGACGGTAGTGATTTTCACGGTAGACAGCCATTGTAGCTCTGAGGGATTAAATCGAAATTAAAAATTCTCTAGTCTTATATTCACTATTTGGGAACTGCAAAGGTTGGAGCAATCGACTGTGACGCTAAGACAGTTAAAGAGAAGGGCAGTTGGAGTTGTGGGAGCCTTTATATACACTGCTGCCCAGGCCGAGAATGCCAGTAGATAAAGCTTCAAGTTGAGCCTCCAATTCTCTTCTCTTGGGACGGGAGTCGTTGCACTATTATTTAGGGCCACATTCTATAGTGATCACCATGTGTACTTATGTACCACTGTTTGGCAAAGGTCTGCTCCGAAAATTTTGGGGGTCTCATTTTGCTCCTCTGTAAAATATGGGCTTGTTTTTTGGAGCGTTTCTGGAACATGCTCTAAGCAAGACACTGTGGTGCCTGGAAGCGGATGTCGATCCTGTGCTAGAGCTTTTCGGCGGAGGACAGGAAACCTGAGGAAGCAGGAAAGTGGGATTTGTTTCCAAAGGGCTTGTGACCGGGCGCGCCACACCACGAGAAGCTCGTAGCTGCCCGGCCTCCACGCGAAAGCCTACCCTCCTGCTCGGGCCCCGCCCCGCGGCGCGGGGGGCGGGACTTTGACTCGGGGGCGGCCCGCACGCGATCCCCGCCTCTCTCTCCGCCTCCTTCCCCTCCCCGGGCCCCGCCCAGCGGGCTCCGGCAAGAGGGGCGGTGGCCGCGGCGGTGACAGCCGCTCCCCGCCCCCGAGGCCGCCACGTCCCTCACGTACCACCCGGCCGAGCGGCGGAGCGGCGACCTGGCGCCCGGGGCTCCGGCTGCTCCGGCGCGGCTCGGCATGAGGCTAGCGCGGCTGCTTCGCGGAGCCACCTCGGCCGGCCCGGGCCCCGGGCTGCGCGCCGCCGGCCGTAGCGTCAGCCGCAGCCTCACCTCGGACTCGGGCTCCGGCCCGGCGCCCGAACGCGGCGTTCCCTGCCAAGTGGACTTCTACGCGCGATTCTCGCCATCCCCGCTCTCCATGAAGCAGTTCCTGGACTTCGGTGAGTGGGGCCCGGGCTTCGGGCCTTCTTGCGCAACCCCAGCCGGGAGCTGCGGCCGCTAACCCGGGCCGGGCCCGGCCCGCGCGGATGCCCTCCCGTAGCTGGCGCGCCCCCTTCCTCAACGTCTCTCCTCCGGGGCTTCGGACGCCTCCTCCGTCCCTCGCGGACGGATCCCTCTGCTCAGGTGCAGGCGTCCGCGCCCCCGAGAGATAACTGGGAGAGTGTGCCTTTTTCCCGTGTATTGTTGAAAAACAAGTCTGGGGCCCGGAGCCGCTTTTCAGCGCACGTGTGCACCTCCGCGCTCGCAGCCAGGCCCTTTCGGAAGAGCCCAGCCTGAGTGAGAGGCGAGTGTGCTGACACCTCCAGGAGTCGAGTTCAGATTCTGCAGAGTGCAGATAAATGCTCTGTTTTGCATATGATGGTTCCATAAAAGTGGCGTGCTGATAGGGAAAGCAGGTCCTGACTGGCCCGGTGTTTCATAGAATGTTTTCCTTGCCACTGCCTTAAGCGTTTCCACCAACCGTACAATTCATTCCGTCAACAACAGTCCTCAGCACGTGTAAAGTGCATGGGTACAGTATGCTGTGGGGTTTGTTTACCAAAGTGACTTTCCACTTTCCTCTTTCTCAGATGGGTGCTTCCTGGTTTTCTCTAGAAAAGATGCAAAGGAATTGCAAAGTCAGGCATTTAACTTTGACTTATAGCGGCGCGCTAAGGTGAAATGGGAAAACTAATCAAGTCAAAATTTCGAAGGGACAAGAGTTATCTTCTGCATTGTGAGTGTGGTTTGGTCACCAACGGATCACAAGTGGCTTGAAAGATAGCAGCGTAGTTAGCCACTTAATCTTAGACTTGTGGTTTACAAATGACTAGTGTTATTAAGAGGGTGAATTTGACCTCTTTCCGAAGTATGCCATTAAACTTCCACAAGAAAATGTTTTCTTTTAATACGATTATTCCTATTGACAATCTAGTTTTTGCTATGCTTGTCTCTTGCTAAAAGAGCAAATCAGTGAGTTTAAAATTCATCACTGAAGTAACATGACTTTTTAGTTTACCTTTAAGTGGAACTGCTTGCCAAATGCGATTCTACAGCTGTTCTGCTTAGCATCTTGAGTAGGAATGGAGGAAGGAGCAGATTGCTTTCCAGGAATCAGACAATTGAATAGAACCTACTGGGGGAGAAGCTTGAAGATGATCACAGAGCAGGCATTGGCAGCTTTTGCTTTCTGTTGCCCGGAAGACTTCTCTTCATTTACTCTTCGCTTATGGCAATTAGTATAGTGGTTCTACTTGGACTCAATGAATCTTCTCATGAACATGTCAAAGTTTCCACTGTTTCTTAGACAGGTTTTTCTCATAAACCTAGAGTTGGAAACAAGTTTTTAAAATGATAGCAGCAACAGGTTATATAGGATAGGCTTTTTACAGGTCCTACGTTAATCAGACTGCCTTGCCCTAGGTTCCCTTAGTTCTAAGATAGGAGTTGTGAATAACGGAGACAGGAAAATAACCTCACTGATTCTATACAGTGTGGATGGAAGGTGGTTCAGAATGTCACACAGCCCTAGAGACTGGACTGTCTTGTCCCATGCTCCTCTTCTTGCCTTGTCATTATGGTGATGCTATCACTTGTCAAATAACTCTGTCTGCGTTTCTCTCTGCCTTGTGGCTTCCACTTACTGCTGTTCACACTGTATTTGGTTTCAGGATCTGTGAATGCTTGTGAAAAGACCTCATTTATGTTTCTGCGGCAAGAGCTGCCTGTGAGATTGGCAAATATAATGAAAGAAATAAGTCTTCTTCCAGATAATCTTCTCAGGACACCATCAGTTCAGTTGGTACAGAGCTGGTAAGATTCACTGTTCTTGCGTTTGCAGTTTGAGTGGAGTTGTAGACTTTACCCAAAGTTAAAGCAAATACTTCTTTACTCTTCAATGGTGTCTCAAGGTAGTAGCAGCATTCCTCTCCTCTGTTTGGGTGTGTCTGGCCCGGTCACCTGAATCCTGGACTGTACTACTTTTTGGTTTTAAAAGAACGATCAGAAATGCACAGAAATACAGACACTATACTTGAGATTTGTGTTATTAAATCTCCAAGGATGTTATTTCATAATGTAATAAAAATATCTACCATAAATTGATGGCTAGAGATTTATATACTTTACCTTTAATCCCTTCAATAACCCTGCCCAGTAGGCATCCATTTTACAGATGAAGAAATGGACGTACCTACAGATTAAGTCCTTTGCCTAAGGCAAAAACATTCACAGTAGAGCTGGGATTCAAACTCAGATTTGCTTGTTTCTACTGCTGTATGCTGAAGTCAGATTAATAAAATGCCTTAAAGGGTGTAAATATTTTTATAAACTGAATTTATTGTATTGAAGTATATCTTAATAAAGCGCAAAAGTTAAAATATTTATTCTACCATTTAAAAACAATTAGAAGTTACTAAAATTGTGTAGAAACTATGATCTCCCTTCTAAAAAATGACAGTAGAATTATTAAGGGTGTGCATGCATATGTGGCCACCTGTATACAGCCTTTCTTGTTAATGTTATTAAAAGTGTTATTCTGTTAACCACTATACATTCCAAACAAAAGAGTTTGCCAGAGTCCAGTCTTAAATGGAAAAATTTAGTTGCAAGGCATTTCCCAATTATGATTTATGGAGATCCTAGCTTTCCTGTTGTAAGCATTATAATTATGGGAGAAGCTGATATAATGTCAACTTTTTAAAATAAGTGAAAGAAATATGACTACTCCATAATTGATAATCAGAGACTATCCAGTCGAAAAATGGAATAGTTAGAAATGTGATTTAAGTAAGAGGCATTTGTTTAGGTACTCCGATGCAAGGAGAACAGATAATTTTCTATGGTGGTTTATTCCTTCTTTAAAAAAAAAAAAATCATTAAAAGTAGAATACGTTACATTTTTAGAATATCTGTGCCTAACACATTGTAAATGTTGACAATTTAATGCCCAAAACTCTGCCTCTGTTCACTGGTGCTGAATTGAATCTTGAAGCCATTGTTTCAGGTGAAGTAGAAAAGAATAGCTTTATTGCTTTGCCAGGCAAAGGAGGACACAGCAGGATCTTGCCCTGAAAAACTGTGTGTCCCAACCCGGGGATGTTTGGTGAGGAGTTTTATAGCAGTGGTTCAAGGGAGAGGTTGCTGATAATGATCAGGGTACATGCAGGGCCTACAGGCCTTTAATCTGGCCTCAGGTGGTCTCCTGATGTGCTTCTTGAGATTATCAAACCTTCTCTGGAATGAAAAATGCTAACATCTTTCTTTTGTTGGGCGTTTTAGTGCTATAAAAGAATTCAAAGATGTGTATCTCTTGAGGTGAAACCAGACTGACTCCCAAGTCTGCACTATTGTTTCTTGGCTGCTTCTCCCTTGTGTCTGCATCCTTTCTCTTCCCTGATTAGCACCTGTTTGAACCTGCCCATTGGACCTCAAGGAAGATCATGGAGACTGGAGTCTGTTGCCTACAAATAGGAAATGGGGGCCAGGGAAAGGCTTCTGTGCCCAGGAGCCCCACAGGGTCCTGCTTGGTTTCAGTATCTTCTGAATAAAAGCACAATTGTTCTTGCCAGTGAAGAGTAAGGGTTAAGTCACAACAGTAGACTCAGAATCACTAGACTTTGGAATGCCTTGGCATGCAGTAGGGCATATTGTTTGTCAGAAACAACTTTCCAAACCAACATGGAGATTTGCAGATTTTTAAAACACTTTCATTGCCCCTGGACACCTACTAAAATGTGGCAGCTGAAGGTCCAGCCGAAGCAGACCTTACACGAGAGGTCATTGACCGATAGGTGTTTTGCCGCTGGCTCTTCGCTGCTGTTGTGCTCTGCAGCGTGACCTTCAGTCGTTTGACTTTCCTCATTTTGCTCCTTTACCGGGTCATTTGCTCCATTGTATTTCTAGGTAAATTAAAAATGTGTATTTTCATGACTTTTGTGTTTTTGTTCAGTTGTTTAGAAGAACCATGTGTTAGATTGTAGACTTTCAATAAGCATTTGCCGACTGGATGTAACATCTACAATTACGGTTTTAAAACAAAGACATTTAAGTTAGATTCTTAGACCAAGGTAAGCTGGCCTCCACATTTTACTGAGACTAAAACAAGTTAAGTCATTTGCCCAAGATCACAGAATTGTTGGTGACAGACTCAGTTCCCATGACCATCAGTATATTTATACTGTAATGTACAGTGGTAATTTTAAGAAATTTAAAAACTACTTAGAGAACTGAAAAAAGAAATAGATTCTTAAATCAAATTTAACCTAAGCTTTTAGGAGAGAATGTACCTTCTAATTACTGTCAGGCACTTTGCTTGAATGTGAATGGGTATACAAATCTCACTTCAATCATAATTTGCTAAAAATTAACTAACAGTAAAGTAATGTTTAAAATGCCACTTGATCATTTTCATAATATTGGACTTTCAAAATATAAAAGAACAACCTTACAAGGGGTTGATTTACATTTTAGGTATATCCAGAGTCTTCAAGAGCTTCTTGAGTTTAAGGACAAAAGTGCTGAAGATGCTAAAACTATTTATGAGTAAGTACAATTGTTTTGCCTTATTTGAACCTCACATAAAACATCATCATATACTCTTTGAACATCATATAAAAATGTAAATGTATTGCCGTTGGATCATTTTAGGGAAATTGATTAACTTTTGGCTTTTTGCTACTTTAGAACATATGATGGTATATGTGTCTGTCGCAGTCCATACAGGCCAGCCAGGTAACATAAATTCAGAAATTGGACTGGGCATAAGAAAAGCTTCATGTTTCTCTTCACTCTAGTGTAAAGAAAGATGCAGTTCAAACGTGGTGATCAGGGGAAATCTTGATGTGGTCTCAGGGCCACTTGGATGGTAGGAGACTGGTGAAGATTTGGAGACGAGTGCGTGCTTCTGAAGGACAGCCCCTCAGCTCTACTGACCATTGCCGAGCAGAAACACTGCCCAGATCATGTGATGTGTGTGTGTGTCTTGCGGGGAGTGGCTATAAGAAAAGCTGCAAGTCTAGTTATTTTTGTTTTTTTAAGTTAGATTTCCTAATTTTGAAAGATTGGAAACTAAACTTTCAACAAACACTGAAGGCCTGCAGGACAAAAACTTGTCTCTAGTTTATGACCTGTGGTCTGCAAGACAATGTAAGTAATGTGACCTATTAATAATCAACATACCAGGACTAATAAGCCCCATAGTCCCCTAAGGCAAGTTACCTGCTTATTCCAGTGAATGTTGCTCAGAACTTAAAGACTGTCTCTGTTGTTGTCCTCCAAGTCCATTACACATTTTTTTTTTTTACTGTCTTTAAAGGTGATAGCAACATTTCACTTTTTAAACATGATTTTGGTTTGAAAATAACACCAAGAATTTGTGTAGGCATGCAGCAAAATTTACACAGATGATGTCATTTACTCTTTAAAATGACTCTATTGAAGTAATACTATCTGTGCAAAAAGAGATACTGTTTGTGCACAAAAAGTCTTAAAATAGCATTAGGCTCACATGGACAGCAAATGGATTTAGACCCATCCAGTCTTACTTAAAGGTAAATGTTATGCTGAAAAACCTTCTGAAAATAGTCATTCAGAGCTGAATTTTAAAAAAATAATGTGGGCAGCCAGGTGGAATAATGCTATTTTGGTTTTGACAAAAGAGAGAGATGTGAAATAAATGATTAAGAAGTGACTAGAAATGATGAATTGTTTTTGAGGAGTTTTGTTGTTTGTATTTTGGATTAGCAGTTTGGTTTTGAAACTAATTACAAACTAGGAATTCCAAAAATATTTTGAGCAATGAGACCATCATTGGAATAGGTTAATAGTAGTCAAGATGATGATTTTGAAGACTTTGAATGAGGAAGCAGTCATTTGGAAGTATGAGTCCTGATGGATATATTATTACGTGGATTTTGTTACTTCACAACTAAGACTTGTTTCCTCTTTCATTTAGTTCTTTAAATTAGCCATGCAGTTCAGTTCACTTCAGTTGCTGGGCTGTGTCCAACTCTTTGTGACCCCATGGACTGCAGCACACCAGGCTTCCCTGTCCATCACCAACTCCCAGAGCTTGCTCAAACTCATGTCCATTGAGTTAGTGATGCCATCCAACCATCTTATCCTCTGTTGTCCCCTTCTCCTGCTGCCTTCAATCTTTACCAGCATCAGGGTCTTTTCCAGTGTTTTATTTCTTTGCATCAGGTGGCCAAAGTATTGGAGCTTCAGCTTTAGCATCAGTCCTTCCAAAGATTAGTCAGGACTGATTTCCTTTAGGATTGACTGGTTGGATCTCCTTGCAGTCCAAGGGACTCTCAAGAGTCTTCTTCAACACGACATTTCAAAAGCGTCAATTCTTCAGCGCTCAGCTCTCTTTATGGTCCAACTCTCACATCCATACATGACTACTGGAAAAACCATAGTTTTGGCTAGACGGACGTCTGTTGGCAAAGTCATGCAGTAGTGTCTTCAAGCAGCAGTGTCTTCAAATGATGAAATAGAAGTGCTGGATGATTTGAAGATTTTTCTTTGAACACACAGTCACTTTTTCTTCTCCCATTTTTTTAAACTCATAGAATGAATGGAATTAGAATTCCTTTCTACTTTTCTAAGTGGCCCTTTCTCTCTTGAACCTGGGGAATGGTTCCAAAACAGACAGCCTTTATTGGCTCATTCATTGTCATTCCTTACAGAGCACGTGTTCCCTGGAAGCAAGTGCTCTGTCTTCTCTTATGCTGACTGTGCCTGGATCCCATCCTCTTAGCAGGTGTTGAAATAATATTAGTTGATGATGGTTAAAGAAAACCCTTCACATTTGGTAGGATTGTGTTTTGCGGCAGCCTTTCTTTTAGGAGTTCCAAGAAAATAATTACATTTCACAAGTTTTATTTATTTTGGAGTTTCTTAACATCTCCATAGAGATGGTATATTTTATGATCTGAAATTTACTTAAATAAGTGTAAGAAAACATGCCTTGATGCTGCTTTTACTGAATTAGGCATTTCTTGTCTAGTATAATTGGCTAAATTTAGATTTTAGTATCACATTCACTTGCCAAAATATTTGGCTGTTTTGACAGACAGGTTTGTTTAGCTTTACAGACACTGTGATACGGATCAGGAACCGACACAATGACGTGATACCCACAATGGCTGAAGGTGTGGTTGAATACAAGGAGAGCTTCGGGGTGGATCCTGTCACCAGCCAGAATGTTCAGTATTTTTTGGATCGTTTCTACATGAGTCGAATTTCAATTAGAATGTTACTTAATCAGCACTGTAAGTGTCTGGAAGTCAAGAGAAGAAGCTAAATAATCTGTGTTGATATATTTTACATTTATTTAGAAAACTTCCTTTTAGGGAGAACATTTAATTTTTTTTTTAATTAAGGAAAGTAAATAGACTGCCATTGAAAGGTTTTTAAATTTATGTTTAACGTTATGTGAAATGTTTATGTTTTAAGGAAAATACTTGTTCTACTGTTTGGTATCAATTAGAGAAACAGGATTCAAATCCAGACAGCGACATTATGTATTTTAGCTTATTTTATTTGTTTTTTAATTTTTTATAGCTTTATTATTTGGTGGAAAAGGCAAAGGAAGCTTATCTCATCGCAAACACGTTGGAAGTATAAATCCAAACTGCAATGTGGTTGAAGTTATTAAAGGTAAATACATTTCTCCTTTCAGAAAGAATGCCAAAATCAAAATTGTTGAGTGTTTTTTCTTGCTATTAAAACAGTTATTTGACTCATGAGATAAAATGATATAACCCATGCATGGGTTTAATAATGACTTTATAATGCTAATTGTGCACTGTGTATAGGATGAATGTTTTGTTGATACCATGCTTTATTAGGCAAAAGGTGGTGATATTATGAGGGTATCTATTTGACTTCAAAATATTTCCTTATTCCCTCCTAATTCCCTATATTGAAGCCATAATTCATAATAGTTTGGCTTGTATCTTGCCACAGCTTTTTCTGTTTGTACCATGTATGCTTGTGCACACACATAATTATTGGTCTTACATTGCTGTTTTTGGAACATAAGATACTTTGTGTATGTTTTTCTGTAAATTTACAAACATTGTGCCATGTGTAGTACATGTGGATATACACCAGGTTTTTGAATGACTGTTAGGGATGTATCAGAATGTATTAATCCATACTCCTATTGATGCATATTTCTGTTGTTTCTATCACCAACAGTATTGCAGTAGACATCCTTATATATGTGCTGACTTTTGCTAGTATTTTAGAAGGCAGGATTTCTAGAATTAAAAATATTTAAAACGCATTTAAAATTTTATAACTCCAAAAATGTATCAAACAATGAATGAGAGTGAGTATTCCCTAAACCCTTACCAACTCTAAATTTTTGTTACATGTATTGTAAATATTTTCGTCAATCTGCTGGTTTCCTTTTTACTTTGTTATGGTGTCTTTTCCCATACAGATATTTGAAAATTTTTTTGTAATCATATCTGTCACTTTTTGCTTTATATGGCCTTAGGTTTTGTCATGTCATATTTTAAAAAGACCTTCCCCAAACTAAGATTATTAAAGTATTTTTTTTTTCTGTAGAAAGCTTTAAAATTTCATTTGTCTATGTATTATTGCCATCTTCATGAAGCAGAAGTAAATTTATTTAATGACTTTTTTGTTTTGATTCGCACTAGATGGCTATGAAAATGCTAGGCGTCTGTGTGATTTGTATTATATTAACTCTCCCGAACTAGAACTTGAAGAACTAAATGGTAAGCCTGATGCCTTTTCCTTAATGATTAGTGTTATGACTACCTGAGAAGGAATGATAAGAAGTTAAATTTGTTTTAATATAAAACAACTTCTTTATTGGATATGAAAGCTGAGGGAGAGAAATCATGTTAAAAATATATGTATTTATGTGTTTGTACGTATATATGTATATTTTTTAATTTAGTTGGATTTTTTCTGAAAGACATTTTGCCTTTTTCTTTCCCATTTTCATTATTTTAATTGATAATATTGATTCTTTGCTTATTTTTTATTTCCTGGTTAGTCTCAGAAAAAAGTGATCCTTCTCTGGTGGCTCAGACGGTAAAGAATCTGCCTGCAATGCAGGAGACCCAGGTTTGATCCCTGGGTCAGGAAGACCCCTTGGAGAAGGGAATGGCTACCCACTCCAGTAGTTTTGCCTGGAGAATCCCATGGACAGAGGAGCCTGAGCCTGGTAGGCTACAGTCCATGGGGTCGCAAAGAGTCAGACACGACTGAGCGACCAATGCTTTCAAGAAAATTACATCTGACTTTTATATGTACTTCACTAATGTAAGGTTTACCCTTTAAGATTTCTACTTCCTGAGTTGTAAACCAACTTTTTATTGTCGAGGAACTAAAAAGACTGGAGATGTAAAAGAAGAAAGAAAGATGTCCATCTGTTTGAGACTCTGATTATCTCTGATGGTCTTCTTTTGGACACAGAAGGTTTAGATGCCTTGGAAGGAGATTGATGAGTTGTCTCTGTTTTCCCTGGAGGTAGGGTAGTTTGATAGAGGGAGACAGTACCTCAGTTAAAATGACCCTGTAAGAAGAATAAAATTAAATAGGCTTCTGCTGAGTTGTATTCTGGACCTTAGAGTGGGAAGGCAGTGGAAGAAGTTGCCCCCTTCAAAATAGAGTTGCCTGGTTTTTCTAAAGCCATAATAGTACATTCAGTGAATAAGAACCACAAGGCACAAGTGATAGTTTGGGAACCTGAACTGCTGTGGGCAGTTTCCAGATGTACCATCTGTGTTTCTGAGAGCCAGTTCATTCATTGGAGAGTCCAGCTTATTGGCTGAATGAGAATTCTGAGGTATGGCGACTCTTACGCCTTCACTGAAAGTTCTGGTTTGCTTATTATCTGTTCTCTCCCCCCAACTGGGCTCCTGTTAAACATGTTTGAATGTAGAATTAGTGGCCCTTGATAAGTCAATGCTAGGTCAAAGTTTTTATTTGAATCTACATGCACAGAAATGCCCAAAATAAAACAAAACATCCCACCTGGGTGAAACAATTTAAAAATGGCTTTTTAAAGAAAGAATGTATTTATGTGAGTTGGACCATGGAATTTAAAGACTTTAAACACTTAAATTTAAAGAATTTAAACACTTCTTTTTGGAAGGAAAAAATTCTGACCATAAGATTGAGTGTCTTAGACTCAACCATCATAAGCAAGAATGGGAAGATGGGTTGGTAGATGGTTATGCAGGATTGCAAGAGTGACTTCAGGACTCATGTTGTCACAGGCAGTTATAAATTGTGTGAACCTGGCATTCAAACACAGATACAGTAAAGAGCTGGTGTAGCCCTTCTCCCCCCAGTAGTACTGTCCTCCATAGTAAATGTTTTCTTTTCAGCACTACACAATACAGTCTTTAAAATGCTTTAAGCACATCTCTCTGTACTTTCATATTTTTCTCTTCTGCTCTGTAGCAAAATCACCAGGACAGCCAATACAAGTGGTTTACGTACCATCCCATCTCTATCACATGGTGTTTGAACTTTTCAAGGTTTGTAACATAGTATTACATCACCTTTATCAGTCCTTTCCTAAGGTTAGGAATCTGCTTTGAAAGTTTAAATACTCTACCAGGTTTTCCTCAGTTTCATTAAAAGATGCCGTTGGTGTTCAGCGTCATGGCACATCAGTGAAGATAAGCTGTTGATCAACACTGATGCCCTCAGTGTAGTGGTAAGCTCAGACCTGGGACTCAGAAAGACCTGGATTTGAATTCCAATTCAGCCACCTAAAATGTGTGTGACCTTGTGGAAGTCCCTCAACCCCAAGCCTCAGTTTCCTCCTCTGCAAGCAAGGATAATACTATTATCCAGGTTGTTAGGAGGATTGAGAATAACATCCTAAATACCTTGTACAATGGAAGCACGTTATAGGTGTTTGATACAATTTTATTTGTATTTTTACAAAGCAAAATGCTTAGAATGAGTCTCCACCCTAAAGGACCACAGACCTACTATCATATGCATTGTTGTATGCATTTTTTTGGAGAAAGTCACTTACATTGACTTACGTGACTTCTGCTGTTATATTTGCTCTTTACAACACATTCTGAAAACTAAATACAGTTGTGCTCATAATGTTGAGAGTACATTTTTTCTCATCAGCATACCAAAGACAATTGCTGGTAGACAGGAAAGTGGGTGATGAGGAGTACGGGTCCATGTGGCTGAAAATATTACCCCACATCAAGCCTGTAGTCTCTCTCAGTGTGATTACCATGTCTTCAGCCAGGAGCAGGTGGAAGAGAGAAGAGGTGGCTTCAGCCTGATCATGAAAAAAGAAAAATACACTGAAACATAGAAAAACTGGCTGACTGTCTTAGAGCAGCAAAGATTGAAAAATGTTCTTGGTTCTAAGACAGCAAGAATGTATCTAATATCTTAGAAAAACCTTTCTACCAAAGTGGTTACATGAATAAACGATTTGCACTGAAACTATTAAAAGTAATTTTTTCCTTGAAATTTCAGTCACCTAAAGATTTCGTTCCCTATGATGCTTAGTAAAAGGAATACTACCATATTATGTAATAGATTTTATATTATGGTGGTAATAATGGCTTCCATCTGAAACCTGATCTTAAATGGCCTTCGGTAGAGAGGACAGAATCTCTTCCTCGGGGGACTCTGTCCTGTTGGTGTTCCAGGGCTACACGCTCCACGTGCAGCCCAGTCTTTTGCCTTTTAAACTGTATCTAGGCTTAGCAGTTCTGCTTCAGTGCTACATGTCATGTGATTGCTTAGTGCTTATGCTCTGTTGATGTTGTATACCCTGTATCCTTTAGGAATTGGTCAAAACTGTCTTACTGTGTAAATAAATATTCTAGTTTCCAATTAGTAGTAAATTAGATTCATTTCTACATCATAATAAGACCTGCTATTAGTACTAAATGAAAAAAATTGCTTTTTCTTAAAGCAATTTATGACAATTAAAATGGTTCTTTAAAATAGAGATGAGACTGTTTTCAAAAATAAGGTTTGCCCATTATCTACCAAATTATAAAAATATTTGGGTAGAATTTTCTGCTTTCATATGAAGCTAGTTAAAAATGTTGAGGTGCTGATTTTAGAAAATCAGATTTTTACCTACCAAGTCCTCTAAAATGACTTATTTTTTAGAAGTAGTTCTTTAAATTTAGTTATGAATTATGATTCTCAGGCATGTTTTCATTAAATTAAATTCTTTAAAAATATCAAGGAGTGCATATTTACTTGAAAATTGTACTTAGTTTCTCTCTTTCTTAGTTGTATTTTTAACGTAACCCTTATGATTTTCAGAATGCAATGAGAGCAACGATGGAGCATCATGCTGACAAAGGTGTTTATCCGCCTATTCAGGTCCATGTCACACTGGGTAAAGAGGATTTGACTGTGAAGGTAAGTGCTGTTTTTTTAAATTTTTAAAAATTAATGTACGGACATGTACATGTTTTCCAGAAGACGTAATTTATTTCTAGAAGAAGAAATCCTGTTCCTAAGAGATAATAAGCACATCGTTTCATTTATTTGGCAGGTTATGAAATTTCCCTTTGAGTCTGTTTCTGTTCTGACCCTTTATCCAGATGATTCAGGTTAAAGTAAACCCTGGAGGCAGACAGTTTTGCAAATTGATGTCTGTCCAGTTTGATATCTACTTTGATAAGTGAAATCTAAAATATTTGTGTATTTATAGTAATATTTAGATAGTACATAATTTCTCCTTTTTAAACAATGCTTTTAAATCTGCTTTTAAGTGTTTCATTTGATTTTCCTAACAGCTCTTCAGTAAGGGGCAAAGGTAATTTTATTCTCAATTTTACAGAAACTAGACACAGTGATTAGCTCATTATTAGATCTCGAATAAATGACACAGGACAGGATGTCAGTCCTGTGACCCCTGATAAGTTTCTGAGTCTTGTCCAACTCTTTGTGATGCCATGGACTCCTGCATGCCAGGTGCCTTTGTCCTCCGTTACCTCCCTGAGTTTGCTCAAATTTATGTTCATTGACCCTAGTCCCAGGCCTTTTCTAATACATTTTTCTTAGATAGCTCAGTTTCTTAGAGTATGATGATGTTTCTCTTTTTTAAATAATCATTTTAAATTTTGTATTGAATTAATAAATGTAGAGAGATGAAAATGAAATATGTCAGTTCCTTGCCACTTGTAGGTCACCACTCAGAGACGGTCTTTTTCTTATTTCTCTTAGTATTGCTGTAGTTGAAAGACATTTTCTAATATTGCTGTTTATGAAATTAAAATTTTTTAAACAGCAAATATTGGCTTTTGGTTATGGTAGCTGAGGAGTTAGCTCTCTTAGAGCTTCTCCCCTCTCAGTTGCCTAGCCTCAGTTGCCATTTTCCCAGTATTTAAGTTCATACATGGAATTCCAGACTAGAAATAATCATCTTTCAGGGATTTTGAAGATATCTAGTGTTCTTTTTTTTTTTTAATATACAATTCGGTGGTTTTTAGTGTGTTCACAAGGTTGTGTAACCATACCATTGTTTAATTTCAGGACATTTTCCTCACTCCCAAGAAAAAACCAGTGCTCATTAACAGTCACTTCTCATTTCTCCCTCTCCCCACCCTTTGGCAACCACTAATCCATTTTCTGTGTATGGACTTCCCTATTTTGGACACTTCATAAAAATTCAGTCGTACAATATGTAGTCTTTTGTGACTGACTTCTTTCACTCAATATAATGTTATAGCATGTATTCATTCATTTTTTTGTTATTATAAATAATGCTGCCATTTGTGTACAAGTGAACATTGGTTTTCAGTTCTCTTATGTATATACCTAAAAGCTGAATTGTTTATAGGTAATTCTGTTCAACTTCTGAGGAATACCAAACTCATTTTAAAAGTGACTGTACCAATTTACATTTCCATCAATAATGAATGAAGGTAGCAATTTTTCCACATCCTTACCAACATTTGTTATTGTCAGTCTTTTTGATTGTAGCCATCCTATTAGATTATAGCCATTCTCATTCTAATATCTCATGGTATTTTTTTTTTAAAGAAGTGTTAATTAAGATCCTTTGCTCAGTTTTTAAGTAGGTTGCCTTTTTATTGTTGAATTGTAAGAGTTTTCTCCATTTGTTTATTTTCTATTGTTGATACTAGTCCCTGATGAGATATATGATTTGCCAGTGTTCTCCCATTCCGTGGCTTACCTTTTCACTTTCTTGAGTGTTCTTTGAAACACAAAGGTTTTAATCTTGAAGAATTTTAATTATTCTGTTTTTTCGTTTATTGCTTGTGCTTTTAGTGTCACATGTAGGAGGCCATTGCCTAATTCAAAAGTCATAATAATATATGCCTTTCTTTGTTTCTAAGAGCTTTAAAGTTTTAGTTCTTACGTTTAGGTCTTTGATCCATTTTGAGTTAATTTTTGTAAATGATTTGAAGTAGGGACTCCAGTTTCATTCTTTTGCCTGTAGATAATCCCAGTACCATTTGTAAAAAGGCTACTTTTTCTCATTCGAATTTTCTTGTCATCATTGTCAAAATTCAATTGCTTATAAATATATAGGTTTATTTCTTGATTTTCAATTCTATCCCATTGGTCTGCATATCTCTCCTTAGGAACATTTTGATTATTATTTCTTGGTTGTAAATTTTGAAATTGGCAAATGTGATTCCTCAAACTTTGTTGTTCTCTTTCAACGTTTTTTGACTATTGTGGGTTCCATGCATTTTCATAAGAATTTTAGTATCAGTGTTTCAGATTTTGCAAAAAAAGTTAGCTTGAGTTTTTAATGGGGATCAAGTTCAATGTTTAAATCAAGTAAGTCTTCCAGTCTGTGAACAACAGGATGTCTTTCCACTTATTTAAATCTCTTTTTTCAACAATGTTTTCTGATTTTCAGTACACAAGTCTTATACTTCATCTATTAAGTTTATTCTCAGATATTTCATTCTTTTGGGGGTTTTTTAAGTGGAATTGTTTTCTTAATTTTTGGATTATATATTGCCAGTATATAGGCATATAATTGATTTTTATGTATTGATCTTGTATGTTGCAACCTTGCCAAAGTCATTTATAAGTTCTTATAATATTTTTTGTGAATGCCTTAGGATTTTCTCTACATAAGATCATGTCATCTGAAAATGGAGATAATTTTACTTCTTCCTTTCCAATCTGATTTTTTTTTTCCTTGCCTAATTGGTGTGGCTAGAACCTACAGTGCGATGCTGAATAGAACTGGTATCCCTTTCTTTTGCTGATCTTAGGAGAACTTTTAGTCTTTTTTTTCTTTCTTCCATGTTTATTTTTGTTGTTCAGTCACTAAATCATGTCCAACTCTTTGATATAATGAGCTATTTTTTTATTATGCCATTAAGAACAAACATTTATTTACTTTTTCAACTGAATTCTTTAAGTATTTGATCTGGACTTAATAACGCTCTCAACTACTTATTTATTTCCTGGCTTTTGGCACATTTTAGACACCACCCTTATAGCAGAAAATGAAGAATAACTAAAGAACCTCTTGATAAAAGTGAAAGAGGAGAGTGAAAAAGTTGGCTTAAAACTCAACGTTCGGAAAACCAGGATCATGGGCATCTGGTCCCATCACTTCAAGGCAAATAGATGGGGAAACAATGGAAACAGTGAGAGACTATTTTTTTTTTGGCTCCAAAATCACTGCAGATGGTGACTGCAACCATGAAATTAAGACACTTGCTCCTTGAAAGAAAAGCTATGACTAACCTAGACAGCATATTGAGAAGCAGAGACATTACTTTGCCACAAAGGTCCATCTAGTCAAAGCTATGGTTTTTCCAGTAGTCATGTATGGATGTGAGAGTTGGACCATAAAGAAAGCTGAGCACTGAATAATTGATGCTTTTGAACGGCTGGAGAAGACTCTTGAGAGTCCCTTGGACAGCAAGGAGATCCAACCAGTCCATCCTAAAGGAGATCAGTCCTGAATATTCATTGGAAGGACTGATGCTGAAGCTGAAGCTCCAACACTTTGGCCACCTGATGCAAAGAACTGACTCATTGGAAAAGATCCTGATGCTAGAAAAGATTGAAGGCGGGAGGAGAGGAGAATGACAGAGGATGATGGTTGGATGGCATCACCGACTTAATGGACGTGAGTTTGAATAAACTCCGGGAGTTGGTGATGGACGGGAAAGCCTGGTGTGCTGCAGTCCATGGGGTCACAAAGAGTCGGACACAGCTGAGTGACTGACTGCCTGATGCATACAACTAGGGCTTCCCAGGTGGCGCTAGTACAAAGAACTTACCTGCCAGTGCGGGAGACTAAGAGACTCCCATTTGATCCCTGGGTAGGGAGGATCCCCTGGAGGAGGAAATGGCAACCTGCTCCAGTATTCTTGCCTGGAAAATTCCATGGACAGAGGAGCCTGATGGCTACAGTCCATGGAATCATAAAAGGGTCAGGCAGGACTTAGTGACTAAACAACTACAGCAGTATCATGAGAGGATGTTGGATTTTATCAGATGCCTTCTCTGGGTAGATTGAGATGATTATGTGGTATTTGTTCTGAAGTCTACCAGTTGGTGTATTAGAATGATTGATTTTTGTGTGTTGAACCAACCATGCCTTTTGGGGCTAGGCCTCACTTTTTACATTTTTTTGAGGATTTTTGCGCTGATATTCATAAGGGATATTTATCAGTATGTAGTTTCTTGTGGTATCTTTGCCTGCTTTTGATAACAGGTAAAACTGGCCTTCTTGAATAAGTTGAGAAGTGCTCCCTCCTTGTCTGTGTTTTAGAAGGTTTTGAAGGATTTGTATTGACTCTAAATGTTTGGTTGAATCCACCAGTGAAGCCATTTGGGCCTTTTCTTTTCTTTGTGAGAAGAGTTTTGATTACCAATTCAGTCTCTTCATTAGTTATACATCTATTCAGCTATTTTGTTTCTTTCTGAGTTACTTTCTGTAGTTTATCTAAGAATTTGTCCATTTCACCTGGGTTTTCTTATTTATCGGTATACAGTTCATGGTTTTCCATCATAATCCCTTTTATTTTCTGTAATTTTGGTAGTTGTTGTTGTTCAGTCACCAAGTCATGTTCAACTCTTCATGACCCCGTGGACTGCAGCACACCAGGCTTCCCTGTCCCTCATCATCTCCTGGCGTATGCCCAAGTTCATGTCCATTGAGTCAGTGATGCCATCCAACCATCTCTTCCTCTGTTACCCTCTTCTCCTCCTGCCTTCAATCTTTTCCAGCATCAGGATCTTTTCTGAGTCAGCTGTTCACATCAGGTGGCCAAAGAATTGGAGCTTCAGCTTCAGCATCAGTCCTTCCAATGAATATTCAGAGTTGATTTCCTTTAAGATTGACTGGTTTGATCTCCATGCTTTCCAAGGGACTCTCAAGAGTCTTCTCCAGCACCACAATTCAAAAGCAT